CCGCCGCATGATCAGAATATACTGGTATCGGCGCCTTTCCAAATAGACTCGGACTTTTGCACTGTTAACAAACTGCAGTTCCTCTCTCTCGGTCGCGGAATGTTTCGGGTGTTGATAAAAGTTCGGCTAAAAATGCCACGGGCTGCTGATTTGCGAAAGTACCGCTCCTACCGCATAATCCGAAGCTCCTCAATTTCTAATTCTCATCCGTTTTAGGAATTTAAACACAGGGCTTGCGTTCATGCTTGTTTTAATTTTTCGAAAGCACTATTGGCTTCGGCCGTCCACGAGAATCTTGCCTTTTTCCTTTTAATTTTAACAAGGGCTCAGCGATAGCCTGCAAATCTTTTATAAGGACCTAATATGAACAAAGTCCTAGAAAAGAAGAGAGCTTCTTTGCCGTGTTTGGAGTCGGTACTTTTGTACAGCGATTATTTTTGATTCATCTGTCTCGATTCCTTTTGAGATATTTTGTAACCTAAATATTTTAATTCAGGGGCTGCAAATTTGCACTTTTCGACATTAACTTTTAGACCGGCCTCATTAAGAAAGAAACACTGTCTTAAATCCTGTACATGTTGGTCGATTATCACTAGTAATAATGATATCGTCTAAATAGATAAATGTGGACTTTCCCAGAACAGGTCTTAACACAATGTCCATACATCGCTGAAATGTTGCCGGTGCCCCTGAAAGGCCCAAACGGCATACGCAAAATGCATAAGTGCCAGACTTGGTTATAAAAGCAGTCTTAGGCACGTCCTCAGGCCTAACCCTATTTTGAAATAACCAGTCGTTAGTCTAAAGTCGTCATAAATTTGGTTGATTTTATGTTCCTTAGAATTTCTTCAATGATCGGTAACGGATATACCGGATATTTAGTTATGGAGTTTAATTTACGGTAATCAATAGCGATCTCCACCCTTTTGGATGCGCCAAAGGATAGTCATTATTTTTCTTACATAAAACCACCGGGCTAGCATAACTACTTGAGATGGGCGCTATGATCTTTTTTACGTAGACATATCGGTAATATGCCATTCTAATTTTTTTTCCTTATTCTTATCATACCGGTATGGTTTTTGACGAAAATGCATTGAATCTCCGGTGGGTCAGTACTATGGTTAGTAACCTGAGTAAAGTCCTGGAATATCACTAATAACGAAGCAAATTCACTTACCACTTGTCGGATTCTTCCTTGCTCGTCCTTAGGTAGGTGGTCCAAGATTTACCATCGGCGGTTCAGTCAGCCTTTTCTGCACGAACTGGTTTCATTGTCAGCTTAAGGGACGCTTCATTAAAATGCAGGGGGTTGCTTGTGCGTCTGAAAGAAAGTCTATGTCCTAAGATAATATGTGCTTGCAGATTCTTTACTATAAAAAACATCACCTTTACTTGTTCGTCCTTGATACGGATATACAACGTACTTACCTATGCACTTACATTTTTCTCCTTGCGCCGCTAACACTGGTCGTATTATCCGAATTATATATGCGGTATTTGCGAAAATACTTCTAAAAAAATCTTCTGCCACACAGGACACTGCGCGGCCTGTATCCAGGAGTGCGGTGGCTGGGATATTATTCACCAACACTTCAATCTTCGGAAGAGTCATTTTCACCATTACTGTATTAACTTGGAGGAGATGGGTTTTCGTGGCCTTCGGATTTCCGCACCCTCTCGTCAGCAGAAATCCGTTTTAGTTTAAATTATTTTTCATTTCCGTGCTTTCCTTCTTTTCCCCTGGCCTTGAGACTTTTTTCCTGGATTGCTATTGAACTGTCGACGTTAGCCGGCTGTTTTTGAATGCTCGGGTTTCCTTGCCCACTGATTCGCTTTGCTTCCGTAGCCGTGTGCTTGAGTTTGCTGTAGTCTTGGCGCACCAAATTGGTTTCGCTGTTGATATTGGCGTCTTCTTTCGACGTCCGCCGTTCTTCTACTTTCAAACTGGATTGCTAGCTCAAATAACTTTTCCAGTGTAGTCGTATTTCTCAATTCAATAAAATCTTGCACATGGGGCAGTAACCTCGGGAAAATCACTTGAATTATTTCAGGATCCGGACGGTTTCCATACAAGAGTTTGAAGACGTGAATTTTTCTTAAAATAAAGCTTGAGAGATTTTCGATTCTTTGCTGATATATACTGAAAATTTCCGTTTCTAATTTCGCACTATCCCTTACAACAGGGAAGGCTTTTAGTAGGGCAGTCTTGAAATTCTCGTAAGTATAGGTGGGACTTCCTGATTGACCCAAGAGACTTCTGCCTATACATTTGAACCAGTTTAAGCGCTTGGCCCCTCAAAGCGCTGGTAGCTAAGGTAACTTTCTGGAACTCATGGCACGGGGATATAGCATGAAGTGGGCATCCAATTTTTCCAAAAAACTGGTTCACCGGTGAGTTTCCACCATTAAATGTTGCTTGCTGGTTTCATCGAATGCGCGCATGGTCTGGGACGATGTAACCAAATCCTTCCAGGGCGGCAGCTGGCATTTCTGGATTCTGAGCCGTTTCTGCAGGCACCTCAGGTTCTTCTTGAAACTCGGCCATGGTTTATTCTTCTTCGTTGGGCGCCACTATCAGGGCTTCAAATGTTCTTCTTACCTTGCGTTCGGGAACGTGCAATGGACCTGAACTCGGAACAGAGAGCTTACTCAAGCTATGTTCACTAATTGTGGGAAGTAGACAGGATACACAAGAAGGGTATACAAAACCCTTTATTTTCTCTATTTACAATAACTTCCGTACTTCGGAATACACGGACCCACTACTTGGGGTCTAACGTAAAATATAAAATAGAAACTAAACTCTAATTTAACTTTAAAATATAAAACGTTGAAGATTGGCCTTATATTAAGAGGGAGCCGTATGTAGAACAGAGAACTGTGAACACTACAATACGTTTAAAATATCAAGAGGATTAAAAACCTCTGGCCTGGAAGGCAACAAGCAACTGCGTAACTTCTAAGGTAAGCGGCCTGCTTCGACTCACTGCTTCCTCTCTCTCGCTTGGCAAAAAGCCACAACTTAAATACTTGGCGTTCGCCAGACAAACTTTGCATAAAAACCTTAACGCTTATAATTCTGGCCGGAAGTAGAAAATAAGAAGTGATAGTAAAGATTTAAAATAAAATAAACGTTAGTAAAACTTAAGATCCTTACAACGTAATGGTAAAAAAAAGGCGAATTAAAAGTCTTGTCTAAGTCATTTGTAATGCCCAATAAATGAAATAATCATGATCTATGCAAGGCAGCTAAAGTTGTAAGTTGTCATAAACTTTCAATTTTGGAAGAAGACACATCGTTGGCTGACACATCGTTGTTGAACAACGGGAATCATTGCCAGATAAAAGAGTAGCTGGGAATTTAGTCAATTGTCTCATGAATACAAGCGATATAGTTTAATACTTATACTTAAAAGCTTTTTTAATTACATATGAGCAAGACTCTCGCGTTAAAAAGGTGTAAATAATAGATATTGCAGTCTATTTTTTATTATTGATCACGTGTATGTATTCTTAAGACATTTTGCTTATAACACCCATTTCAAATGAGCCACATCAGTAAAATGCATAGCGTAAGTGCCATTAAAATTTCCAGTTGGCTGCAGTATATTTTGCAGAGTTTTAATAGCATTTGGTATAAAATCCTACAAACGATGTTTTAGTTAATTTCCAATTTTATTTTTATACTTAATGAAAGAGTTTTATTTACACAAGTACATTTTCACAAAGAACCATGAGCAAAATTGTATCGAGAGTATCATAAATCAAACGATCTTTCTGTCCTCTAGCGGTTAACATACGATTTAGTGGTTCTGCACTACCAAATCAGCAATTAGTGACGAGGCACTAATTTCTATAGAATAGACTTCCTTGAGCTGCAACAAGGATCTGGATTTATTGATGGTACTAAATATTGCGTCAGCTGGTTTCTGAGCGCTTTCTAACACTGGTGCGTTACTGATTGTCTTCTGAGAATTATAATTCACAGTAACTTGCTAACACTTATCCATGGCTTCAACGAACACAAAGGTTTCTTTTAATAAAAAGACAAACACTATACGCTGTCAGCAATAGGTAAGCAGAATTTCTGAAGGAACTTGTTAATGGTTTTGTTGTGGTATAATGGCAGAAAGTTTATTTACAGTGGTTAAAATTTTTCAGAAAAAATATCTTCTTGAACAGCGATAATTGAAAAGAAATGCTTCGTTAAAAACTTTTTGTCCTATCTGATAATGCAATTCAAAGAAATTACAGTAAAGATAATAAGATAAAACTGAATGTTTGGCGAACGCATAAATGCAAATGTTTCTAAGGTCCTGTTTAGAGTCTATAAGGTCCTGTTTAGATTTACTAACGGTTATCTTAATTTTTGAGACTTTCTTGAATTCTCTTATTTGCTCTCGCATTTTCTTACCAGGTTGTAAATGAAGTAGGTGAGCGTGAGTATTTAAATTCTTGAAACAAAAAGGTTAGACAAAGCGTGATTGCGTAAGTGAAAGTGGACGTTTTGTAATTTGTTCTCCAGCTGTTAATCTCAGTAGCGGCTACACATTACGGCTGTCTAGTGAGCATATCGCTGGTGTAGATTTCTTATTCATCCTGTTAAATTTAATTTAATTGTGTATTCAAACTCTACATCTCTACCTTTAAATGTATTGCTAAATTCACTTTAAGTTCTCACAGCAAGTGGTCGGTATTTTGCATAAGGACAAAAGACCGTGCGTTCTTTATACAGTTTGCGATTCTTTTACACCATTTTCCTCTTGTGTTCATCTTCACGCCTGTGCGATAAGTCTCCAGCTACGAAATTTAAGATCACGTCACCATCTTATGCTTGCAAAACACACTAGATATCACAAGACAAAACTTTTTTTTCATCATAGCATAGAAGAACAGCTATAAAATATTATAAGACTTTATTTGATCATTTTCTTTAACATATAGCGGTTCCTTTTTATAGGAAGAAATAAAAGCAATAATTTAAATATTTTTTCAGGTCCTACCGTACATCTCCTGTCATCTGCATTCATTTGGAGTTTTGGATGAGTACAATATCCTATATTATCTCCCACTGAGTGTACAGTAAGTATGGATTACATAATTATGTAAACACATAATTAATATAATACAGATTCGGCGTCTCTGAAAAACATCGCAGACGAAAACGTCGCGGGCATAACAACGTAAGGAGAAAAAATCATAGTACAAAGCATCGTGGGGAAAAAAAATGTACAAGGGGAAAACGGCATGAGTCTTAGAATTTTATGCGTTTTATATGCATGTGCACATTATTAATCCAAAATTACTACTAATCCAACATTTAAAATCCACATGACTTATACATGACTTCCATAACAGCAGAACATATACATGACTTTCTTGTACGGAATATTATATTATACGCAATTTTACCTGAATTTCATTTAAACTTTTTGAATTGAATTAAACCTATTTCGTCGATAGCGCATAAACCACAATAGAATAAATGCACTCTTTAAAATTCTGTATATTTATTTACCATAGTGACATTATGGCGCTAGCTTCACTTAACAGCGTTACATCTCCCTCATTTTACAAATCGGAGTGCACATAAATTATATCATCTGAAGAATTATCTAATCGTTGCCACAAGTTCTATTCAAATACTATAATAAATCTAAAATGATGTATAAAAGAAATTAAACAAATAAAAAGAAACAGTTTTTCACAAAAGATTTAGCGCCACTTACCTAATGCACATGCGCTACTCGTAAGCATTCTCATCTGCCCGAGACAGACTGGCGACAATATTTGCTGCTAATACACTTATTTTCCTCGAATTTCATTACAGATATATTTCTCATTCAATTAATTCAGTTCTCACTTCGCAAGGCAAAAATAATAAAAACTCCAAAATATCTTCATTAAAAATTGAAAGATAAAGAAAATCATAGAACACCAAATACATTTAAAACAATTTTAAAAATTTTACAATTAAAATTGGAGTTTCTGCCCAAAACCAAGCAATTCGCTCAGCATGCAAGAAGGCAGATTTTTCGGTGCACAAACTAAAAGCATGCTTTTTTGGTACCATCGGAAAAAAGACACTGAAGGACTCCTGGATCTTCTAATCTGTTTACGGAACATCTAATGTCCTGAATGGGAGCAGGGAGCTTACACAATCTATGCTCGTGGTATGTATGGAACGGACAACACAAGCAAGAAGGCTTAACTTTACCCTTTATTCTCCACGATATTACAGGTGACAGGTGACGGAGGACGGGGACGCCTGGCGTATAACATAGGTAGACAGGCATATGTCCCACGTCCTCCACTATCTCGAAGAAGCAACTCGCTGGAGCCCCGTGAGGCTGCACTGGGAGTTTACATGGCCATACAGGGGCTAGATGTCGAGTAGTTTTTACATAGGACGTTGTTAATAACGCAAAGTAACTTAAAAAGAATATAAAGGATAGCATTAAAACACTAAAACACTCATATAAGCTGAAACACATAGATATACAAAATTAAACGTAAAAGCATAAAAACCCACTCGTAATTACGTAACATAAAGACATAAAAACACACACGAGAATACATATCATGACACATAGAATACATATGGAAACACAATCATTATTTCCTATCTTGTTCATTTTTGGTTTTGCAGCTGAGGATGGTGGCTCGATAAAACCATCGAAACTAGTCCTGTGAAAATTTTGTAAATATAACGCTGATTTTTGTTGTTTGACTTTTGAATTAGTATTTATTCGGCGTGTTATTGTGTCTTAATTATAGAAGCCCCAAACAGGCTTATTTGTTGCTTTCTTTTTTGCACGTGGTGTGGCCGCCATTTTGTGATTGCATCAGTTTCGGTAAGTACTTTTTTGCAATTTTCAAGTTATGTTTATGTTTTGTATACTTGGATATTGTGCTTTGCTTGTCTGATTTCATGCATTTTGCTTCAGGGGCGTAGCTAGGTGGGGTAAGGGGGCACCTGTCCCCGGGCGCAGAATCCAAGGGGCGCCAAACTGATGTTACGCCATTTTAGAATTAAAAGTTTTCCATCCTTGGCAAGCAGTAGGGGGCGCGAAATCTTCAGTTGTCCCTGGGCGCTGACAACCCTAGCTACGACTCTGTTTTGCTTACAAACGTTTTGTTTTCTATTCATTTCAGTGAGGGATTTTTCTGCTGTTTTGTGTGTGCTTTATTATTGCTTAGTTAATTTAGTTTGATTTTCTGCATTGTTTATCATGCCTTCATCCGTTTATAGTTTCACTAAATTACGCCTGAAACGGCAAAAATTTCTGAATCATCTTGACTTTTTACTTAAATGTAAATGTAAAAAATTGATCCCCAATTTTATTCAAATCAAATCTAATCAAAAACCTTCGAGTCGCGTTTCAAGAATTCTGTTAAATTACAAGCTTGCCTTACTTCGGTCCGTCATAAGGGATACTCGTCAACAATTGTCCAGAATTGAACATGAACTCTATAAGCTTCATCTGGAACTCGCTAAATCATATCCAAAATTCACTGCCCTTGAACAAAAGTCTTGGTCTAGAACGGAGAATGCAGTTAACCGTCATAAAAACACCCTTGCAGTTAAATTCGAAAAACTTCTTTTACAGTCTTCCAGTTTCAAGTAGTTCAAAAAAAATCTTTCCCATCGTAAACATCAAGCCAATAGTTAATATTTCTAATGTTAGTCTTTCAGAAGAACAAGAGAGAATTCTAAAATATAATTTTAACTTCTCACAAACCTGTAAACCCTCGATTCCAAAGATTTTGGCTCCTATAGAAAAAAGCTTTCAAGTTCAGTAAAGTTTTCAGATTCACTGAAGGAAATGATTACGCATCTTATCGCTCATAATGTGAAATTCAATAATAAACCTTTGAAACCAAATCTAACTGCGAGAGAAAGAGCTACAATGCGCGAAATTCATTCTAATCCGGATATTATTATTTCAAAGGCCGACAAAGGTGGCCAGATAGTCGTCATGGATAAGAACACATACATCGATGGTGTCACTAAACTCTTAAACGAAGGATCATATAATCCGATCCCTAAAGATCCTTCACCTCCGGACTTGTCAAAAATAAAAACTGCGATCAAATCTTTGCAAATCATTTCAAGCAACTTAAAACATTCGCTTATTCCACGATATTACAGGTACACTTCGGGATACAAAGACCAACCACTTGTGGTCTGAACGTAAAAATATAACAACTACTAACTAACTAATTTTAAATAAGAGCTATCTTTGAATACTTTACACAGATGACTAACACTAAGGTTGGCCTTTCAGATTATTACATATGTAGAACGCAAACTGCGAAAAACTACAATACGTTTTAGATATCAAGAGAACTAAACCTCTGGCCTTAAAAGTGGACAGCAACTGATTGAAAGCTAGCATGAAATACAGTGGCAAGGAGGCTCACTCTCTCCCCATCTCAACTCGATTTGCCACAACTTAAATACTGAAGCGTTAGCAAGTACAATTTGCATAAACAAATTTAACGCGTTTATTCTGGCCGGAAGTGGAAAATGAGAGAGGGCAGTAAAGTTTTAAAACAAAATAAACGTTAGTCAAACTTAAGATCCTTACAAAGGTGCAGAAAGACTTAATTCACTATTATGCTAAGTTTCGAATGTAAAAAAATATGGCTGCTATGGTAAGAAAAGTTAGGCTTAGCTGTACTTAAACAATTTTTAAATTGTTGATAATTCTACAACTATTGCATGCAGATTAACTAAAGGTATAAAAACCTTAATCGGAAGATAAGAAAAACGTATTTCAATCATTTTCAAAGAAAAAAAATTCGTAATTTACCAACATATAAGAATAAAAAACTGAGCTCATGGAGCCGAGTAACAGAGTATATATATATATATATAGTCAAACTTAATATATATATATATATATATATATATATACCTACTACATACTACATGTTATAGCAGTCCCATATACAAAATTTCAACGTACTAAGGCTACATGTTTTTGAGTTATGTGAGATACATACATACATAGACGCTACGAAAAATTCTTTTCTGAATCCATTTTAAATTAGTTTTATAATTCATTTGGGGAGAAAGAGTCCTTTATTCTCTCCTTACATGCAGACCTCATGCAAAAACATGGTTAAATTGCATTTGATAGCGGTCAAAATGGATATTTTCGTTAAAATATGATACCCGGAATTTTTCGTGACTTCGTATTTCCTTTACTTCGTACAAGGAAGTAAAAATGAATTAAATATTGATATTAAATACATTTTTACTTCGTACAAGGAAGTAAAAATGAATTAAATATTGATATTAAATAGCTAACTCTCCAACTTTAAAATTTTATTATTTGCTATATGTAGCATTAATTTTCTATTACTCTTCAAATTTTGGATGCTTAAGTTATCTTCTTGCTTTTTCAGCAAAAATTAATTACTTAATTCAAAAATATGAAATATGCAGATATAACTTTGCTCATTCTTTCTTGCGCTCACAAATGATTTTGCAAACATAAATGTAAACCTTTTATGTCTGAAAAAATATGTCTGCGGTGCTGTACTTTTATGCTATCGTGTTTTAAATTTTTTACTTTGTGTGTATTTTGTACTACAATAATTCCTATGACAATGTTTTGAGGTTATAAAATTTTTAACCGCTTTATTTACGGCGATGTTTTATACCACGATATTTTTAATAAAATATGACGTATTGTCTTTGCTTTTTTTTCCCATGCTGTTTCCCCTTGCGTTGTTTTCTACAAGACATTTTCTTGCTCGATATATTTGGCTGCAACAAAAGATTAAGCTTATAAATATTTCTCCATTAAGAAAGGAGTTGCTCCATATTTTGAGTATAATTCTTTTAGAGTTATAGCTTTTTAGTTTCATGCTTTTGGTAGAGTTTGTTGCAGATTGTCTGTTGTTTATGGATCAAGGTAACGGAGTCGAATTGAGTATTATTCAACTTCTTACTATTCACTCGTCAATGTAGAGCTCACACATGTAAAACGTCAGTTACCGTTAATTTTTCACAGTTTGTATATGATGTGTACGGAACAAAAGTATCTAAAAACAGTTTTTCATTTAAAGAA